AAGAATCGACTGATGTTCGATTCCAATTCAGAGTTTGCTCTAGAGGCAAGGAACCAATATAATGAATGCAAATAAACCAGATCTGTAAAATTAATGTGCATGCTAAAATTAGCGGCGTACGTGGCTTAAGCACTGAGAGTACGACTCGTAATTCCAACGTACCGTGCTCGAAACCCACTGTTGGCTGCGTTGATTTTTATCGTGGTATGGCGCGTCGCAGGTCGACCCAGCCTACAATGGGTACCAGGTCGCTGTCCTGGGGAAGTAAAGACGGCCGGTGTAATGCTGACCACATTACCCACCTGGTGCCGATGGACTGAAAAAATATGGGTGCTCCTATATTATATGCTCGATGCGCCCAAAAGCGTGAAAATGGATATTAACGCTAAAATTAAGTTCTCGGTGGTGGGGGAAAAAGAAAAATTTCCATCGCAGGGCAGTGATTTCGGTCTCAGGCGAAAAGGAAAGTTGTAGCTCGTTTCAGCCTGGAACGCAATTTTTCCTTTTTTTTTACCGGGGTTTCTGGATCTTGTGCTCGGGTGGCACTGGCTGTTGGTCGCTCTTGAACTTCACTCGCTTGAAGGAAAGTTAAGGCCGTTGAGATGTGTATAAGAATTCATTCCGTACTAGAGGTTCAAGTTTTAATCCCCGGCAAGGGCTGTGATTTTTTTTCACGTGGACTTTTTACCGACGCCTGTGTGCATTGTTGCGCACGTAAAAAAAAAAACCATGGGCTAACGGCGCTGCCCGGGCAAAATTTTGAAGTTAAAAATCTACCTAAAGTATTTCAGGGTCCTCGCCGGTGCTACAGATCTTGTGTATTGTGCTGAGCTTCTTAGGACTCAGACTTGAGTTAGAAAAAGAATGGAGGACTCATGGGTAACTACCCGTGTGACACGATGATCCGTTGTTCAAAACCTCAAAATCAAATAGAAACTGATTCTGGGTTCTAAATGTCGGGGGGAAAGAGAGAGAGAGAGAGAGGAGAGCAGCTTCGCTCCCACCCCTCCCAAAACGAGCATGTCAAGAGGGTTTTGCCAACAAAGCTGAAGTGCCTAGGCCTAAGCAGCAAGGAACAATCTGCACAGAAAAAAGGCATATCTATCAAACAGATGTGCGCGCAAAACTGAGTTCTGGAACAAGACAAAAAGAATGACCAGAAATTTTCACATTAGCTCACAGTTGGCGCTCGAATATTAAAATGTAAACTTTACCAATGGCGTATCAGCACTGGGTTGAGAAAAACCAGCTCAGAGAATGCTTACTGTCTTTAAAAATTGAGTTGGGTCACACAGATCTCAGAGCAAAGGTAAATTAAAATCATCCACTAAGTCAATCTCCATTGGGGAGCAGTACCCCATGGATAAGGAGCAGCTCCTGTCAAAACTGGACTTTTTAAAATCAAAACATGTTGATGGCCGGTGCTTAATATCCTAACCCAGACGTCGTCACAGGACAGTCCAGAGGTTGGTAAGACTGAGTGTTCCAGGTTCCTGATGCTTTTAACGACCCCAAAACAGAACTGGACCTAACATTAACCAACCTATGACAGAGGGCAGTCTAGGTCCCATGACTGCATGTAGCCTATCTACCACCCCCTACAATATTAAACTGCCCTATGACCTGTATAGGTAGGGGTAGGATATTAGTAAAGTACCGATGAAGTCACACGGTGGAATGTTGACCACATCACCCGTCAGGTGGGCGAAAAGTCTAAAAAAGAGTCTAGTCACCTATGCCTGATGCACAAAAGGGACCATTATTATTTACAATAAGTGAACATTGTATTTTTTTCAAAATTGTTTCGTGTTTCCTGTATTGTATTTTGGTGGAATGTCACAAGCAGAACTGAAAAGCACAAACAGTGCTCTGTTCACACACACAAATTTTGTTTTTAAAAAAAAACAGGGATACAACATATGTAACTGGTACACTAACTTTATTAATTAAAAACATTCTATTCATCATCGTCGTCGTCGTCGTCTTCAGCATCATCGTGACTCTCACCGACTGCAGCCTGTGAACAGATTACCAAAATTATGTGTCAACAACTAGTGGCAAAACAAAATGTTAAACTGTACTATTAGATTAGATCTACTGTTCTTTGATTTAACGGCCCCTCAAAAACACCAAGAATGGCTGGGTACACAATCTGTACTGTACAGGGAGCAGGCCTTCAAAGGTGGAGGAAGCTAAGTCAATGGTGACCTATGACCTAACGATATGCAGTGCTCAAGGATAATAATGTCTATTAGATTATTAAAAGTCATAGACAAGACTTATCATCTACTTTAAAAAACACCAATACCTGACAAAATGCATCCAGGCTTCCTAAAACAAATACCACCAAGACTACCTGTGACAGCAGCCCCTCTCATCCCTCTTTAATTATATATTTTTCCTTCACTGGCTGTTGACTGGGGGCAGAAAGATCTGGCTGTTCATCTGCTCTGGACTTTGTCTTGTTCCAGAGATGAGTTTAAGGTGAGCTCCACTTGGAAGGAAACTCCTTAATTACTTGATTCTTACATCATGCTTGCTGGGAAGGCAGTTGGACTATTGTTTTCCTGACAATGGGGCCACATATGGGAACATTAGATATTACTGCTCCTAGACGTGAATTTTGGTTTGACCACATCCGATTCTTTAACAGGTGCCTGGTGCAGCTGCAAACGCTGCACTACATTTTCTTAAAGCAGAAAGTTCTGGTTGCTTGACTACTTCTGAACTGGAGTTTTGCATGCACGTCTATTTCATGGATCAGGCTTATCAGTACGCATGCTACTGGTTCCTAATTAGCTGCCTTTTACAACATGCTTTGTTAGGGGTCAATGCCCCCCCCCCCCACATGGGGCCCTAGGACCCACAAAGGGAGGTGTAGTAGTATAGCCTGATGTGCCAATGGAAACGAAAAGGGACATTTAGAACATGCAGATCAAGCACTTCACTTAGTGGCAGTATCTACCACAAGATTGCATTTTCTCAACTTTATATGGAAATTAAATTCTTAAAATATTTACCTCATCATCATCTTCATCGTCGTCGTCATCATCATCTTCATCGTCGTCGTCATCATCATCTTCATCGTCGTCGTCATCATCATCTTTATCATCGTCGTCATCATCTTCATCGTCATCATCTTCATCATCATCATCATCTTCATCGTCGTCGTCATCATCGTCTGATTCCTCTACTTCAAGTTTTGCCTTCTTTGCTGCGGGCTCTTGACCTGAAAGATAACAATGTTTCATATGTCACACCCAATCATCAACAGTAAATACACGAAGGTGCTCTGTCATGTGGAAGTGCAAAGCAAGGGGAGACTACCGCATTTCATTAGTCTCTAAAAAATTTTTTATTCAGAGTTAGTATAGATTTACAGTGGAACCTCGCTTAACGAGCATAATTCGTTCCAGAATCATACTCGTTAAGCGAAACACTCGTTATGCAAAGCAATTTTTCTCATATAATTTAATGTAAAATACGATAATGCGTTCCTTGTCGAAAAATACTCACAAAATGCTATGTATAAGTTATACTATAACATTTATTCAAAGATAATTATATACATATTTAAGGAGAGTGAATCATCTTCATCTTTTTTTTCAAACGCGGAAAGAACCCCCATGGAATGCGAATTCGATTTGCAGGGGGAAAAAGTCGAAATAATGATACATGGCTATTTTTGTTGTTGTTGCTAGAAAGATGTCCAAAGACATTTGTTTTTGTCGCCGCTTCAAAATTTGACAAAAATGCGACACAGCATTATCATTAAATTTGCAGCGCGCATAGCCATTTCCTTATTAGGGTGGCGTTCTCAATATGAGAAACATCAGTTTCCCATGCTTTCAGAATTTTTCTTATTTCCAGAAGATTGTTGCTTTTCTGTTACCTTCTCTTCCTCCTCCTCTTACAAACTTTCCTCCAAAACGTCTTGCTGTGAAACACAATGCAACTCCATAAGCTCTCTTCGATGGTCAGCTCTTGGCTGTGCTCTTCCACAAGCTCTTCGATATCACTGTTATCCACCTACAACCAGACTTTGGTTGCTCGAATAGACCTCGGGCAAACTAGAACGGGTCCCTAAGGAATTCTTCTCGCTCCCTTTTGTTTCCCCGTCTGTTGTTACAGAAACGCTCAGCACGACAGAGGGCACTGTGTCTGTTTCTTAAATGCAACCTCCTAAAAGAAGTTAGGGTTCTCTTGGTAACCCCTTTCCCCGCCTTGTCGATCATCTTGAGGCAGGCAACGATGTGGAAGGGATTTTTCCAAAACTCTTTGAGAGCGAGGTTGGTCCCTTCAGTCATCTGAAAACAATGCCTGAAGAGTGCTTTAGTGTAGAGCTTCTTAAAGTTAGAAATAGCTTGCTGGTCCATGGGCTGGAGTAACGGAGTGGTGTTGGGAGGCAGAAACTGGATCTTAAATTCATCAGGGAGGTCATCTTGTAGGCCTAGAGGATTCATGTATCACAAAATAACACACAAGTTTGAGAAAATGTATGATCACAAGCGACAATGCTACTGGAACGAGTGCTAAACACAGACTGATGTAACATGCGCAAAATTTGGGACTTTCCCTCTCCTTGCCACCTGTTATGCGAAACATTGCTTGTTAAGCGAGTCATTCTTTTATAATATGTTTTGCTTGTAATGCGAACTACTCGTTATGAGAGGTGCTCGTTAAGCGAGGTTCTACTGTACTTTATGTATTGCTGCAGGGCATAACAGAACACTACTTCTTCGTGTTCGCCTGCTGTAAACCTGGCAGAAAGTTCTGGCTGTTCATCCACTTCTGGATTTTTAATCTTGTTCCAGAACTTTACTTTTGCATGCACAGTCTATTTAGAGATCTAGCTTATTTGTAAGCAGACTTCAAAGGAAGCGCCCCTAGATAGTTTTTACTACCAGATGGGGTATAGGCTGTGTTTTAAAACGTGTGCTTAAAACCCACACCTCAAAGAGCTTACCACACAAGTGTTAATGTCACCTAAATAATCATACCTTTTTTAGCCTTCTCTTTCTTGGCATTTTTCTTCTCATCGTGTTTTTTGGCAAACATCACAGCCACCGTCACACCCTTGAGGCTGGGGCTCTGACATTTGTTCAGGGCCTGCTTGGTCTGGGCTTCAGTTGCAAATGTCACAAAGCCGTAACTGAGGATACACAAGTGTTGAATAAACCACTGCTAACAAACCATGACATGTAAAATAGACATCCCCTAGCTATATTCTATTCTTGCATAAAATGATTACCCAACACACTAGCAACTACGAACCTCTAATGACGGATTGGTGCGAATACATAATAAGATGAGGCGGCTTTTCACCAAAAATAACATTAACATGGCAAAGTAGAAGGGGAAGAGAAGCGCCAAGAAAAAACTCATTACAGAACTTGTCTGGCCTTAGGCATGCAGGGATGAAGTCCATTGCAACTGACCATTAACTGGTGACCCAAATGACATACTGTGTTGCATGGTGATAATGATGAACCATTAAGTAATCAACAGGTGTAAAATAAACCATTATTAACAAACTATGGGTATATATGTACATGTATATAATGTGAGATTGGAATGTCAGAGAAACACAGGCCCTCTGTGACATAATGGCACAACAAGATAATGAATGTCTGGGGATATATAGGTTTTTTTTTTAAAACACTAGCTAAAATACTGAGGTTATGACTGCCCCTATTTAACCACAGGAATGAATGTGGAGGTTTTGAAAGGAAAAGAACATCTAGGAATGTAGTTCAATTTAGCATTAAATGATTTTCCTATGTCTTTTTTGTGTGCCAGCTCTTATGTTAGTTTATTGATATGCTGACCAGCCCGACTTTCTGCTATGTTTCCAGTTTTGCTGCAAGCTGAATCCGTTTCATTCCCCAATATAAGAGAATACCATGAGAAGGCTAGATAAATTAATAACTGTTAAAATGTTTTGTTTGACAATGATTTTGCTGTTGAATTAAAAAAAGGCATATTAAATGGATGATTACGTGTATGGTCAGACGTATGCGTGTAAAACTTCCCATTACCCAATCACTTTCTTGTCACCCTGCCTCAATGGAATCGTGATGCTTGTAGCCTGAGGGAAAATCTTGCGCAGGTCAGCTTCTACAGTTCCATCTGGCAATCCAGCCACGAACAACTTCAAAGGATCAATCTCTTCACCTAGAATAAAAAACTAAATTATTTATTTATGCCCATACAGTAGACAAATAAAGGCATGAATACATGTTATAATAATCTTCTACGTGAGCAGTGTATTATGCTCCTACTATTTTTTTTCCCAAGTTTTACTATTACTGTAATGCAGGGCTATTCAACCATTGGCCCGCGGAGGCCAGGTGAGTGGCCCAAGAGGCCAGGTGAGTGGCCCACGGATCATTGTCAGCTGTGTTAATGATCTTACTGTGTGCAGGCTCGAGCCTCTAGTCATGGTGATCTCTACTTTCAAATAATTGGGCAATGCTTAGAAAATTAGTTCAACAGCCAGGCTGTAACGTCTCCCTAATGTCATTTTTCTTATTATTCACCGGCTGTAAACTCCACCAGAAAGTTCTGGTTGTTTGTCCACTTCTAGAGTCTTTTTCCTGAAGCTGGGTGTTGCGTGTGCATCCATTTTACAAATATGACTTACTTGCATATAGATGCTGGTTCCTTGTCTCTCAGGCGGAGGCACTCCGACTTCAAAGGAAGGTCTCAATTAGTCAACTCTTACGACATTCTTTTGGGTAGGCAATGGGTATTTTCTTGTTTACCCTATAAGTCACTACAGCTGTGTATATTGCTACTATGAAAGACATGCATGCAGTTTTTTACCATGGTTTATTTCTTCACTCTAATATCTCCTATGAAACATGGTACCGAAGAGTTACCCTTCCCTCATACGAGTGACTAAAACAGTCACAACAATATTACATTTTTTACAAATAGTGCAACGAATTAGACTTCTAACTCAAAAAAATTAAATAGAATCGTAGAGGCGTGTGAGGAAGGAAAAGACAAAGATATGTCATTCTAACCTGATTTGTTAGTGTTCTTCTTCGAAAAGGTGCTCTTTTCGCCCACGTAGTCAACCACCATCTTGCTTCCTCTAATTGTAGACTTGGCCAGAATTCCGTAGTTTTTCTCGGCTGATGCCTCGCTGGCAAACTCCAAGTATGCATACCTGGAAATAATGTCAAACAGAAGCAAATTAGTCGCGACTATAATTTCTGTAAATCTTGACTTTGATGGGTATTCTCAACAAGAGCTGATGTCCCCCTAAAAAAGCCAGTTGTGAAGTGCAGAGCGCCTCCCCACCTCCCCGCCATTTTTAAAGCAAATAGGGTCATATTGATAAATACGCTAAGAATCTTCCAAGTTTCAATAAATGTTAATGTCATCATTCTTTCTTTACATTGTCAGAGGAAGAAAAAAGAGAGAGGAGTGACAAATAGGAAAAGGGAGATTTGATTATTGTTGCACAGATTTGCTGTAAGTGTAAAGCAATGACAGGCTCTGAAGAGAGGTATATTCAGTATGAAGTTTATTTTCCATAAATTACCACATTCAGTTTAGTTAACTTTAATTAATCGGACACAAGTCACAACCAAAATACTGAGAGCGACACTATGTCCCTGGCAAATAAACCAAGACAGCTGGACCTATGATTAACCTACTTCATTCCATTAGTTGCAAAATCATTTCAGCCCAGAAAACAACAGGATCAATGCATGAGTCTATAGAAAATATGGTCTGCCATAGAATACTGTAGCGATGCTATCAATCAACTGGGGGAAGTCTCTAGATTGAGAGACATGAAGACAATGTCAAAACATGAGATTGTGGGAGCTCACATAGGAACACGGGGTCTGGGGGAATAGCTGACTGAAAAGTTATTATGTGACAGAATCCCAGAAAGATAATAGCGAAAGTAGATCCGGTGTATAAACTGATCCTGAATGGCAAAGAGTGCAAGCAGTGAAGTAGCAAAGCCAGTAAGTATATATAGCTGAGCACAATGAAAGTGTCTTACTGACCGCTGATTGTGCCAACTGTGTGTAAGTCAGTGTCGACAGTGGCATTGCTGCAGACCTGAAGTGCTAACACATGGACCCTGCATGGATGGCGTAAGTGTTGGGCTGTAACGCTGGTTCCTGTTGCTTATATGGTATTGTAAATTAACACAGAACTGCAGTAACCCTTGCTGGCTGTTATTTGGAGACATGTGGTAGTTTGTTGGGAGAGAAGTCTGCCTTGTCTGACTCCTAGACAACTGCCCGTGTCCTTTGTTTACGAGTGGGAGCTAGCACAAAAGGGACATATTACATATTCACAACCAGCCATCAGAATGAGTACACATAAATCCTACATCAGAACCATGCGATTCTTACACTATCTATTTCTGACTGGGTGTACTAATGAACACATACCCTGGTCGTTCCCTGTTCTTGCCCTTAATAGTAAACAGCGTTCGCAGTCGAACTTGCAAGATGTCCTTAGATAAAGCCTTGATTTCTTCCACGGTACAGTTCGAGGGTAGATTTTTAATGAACAGGGTCTGTGCGTCTTTGTTTCCTGTTAACATTCATAACAAAATATTTAGCAGGGGTTTGTTTTTTATATTTTTAAAATAAAAACCTCTCAAATCAAACAGTCAAAAATATAAGCTTTGTTTGCATGTTGCTTTATTCAATAGTCAGAACATTTGGTTTTATCTGTGTGTCTTCCCTAATCCCATTTGTGTGTTGTTGTTTTTTTTTTTTTGCAGAATACAGAAACAATTCCAAGAACCAACTTTATCTCACAAGCCATATCTGTGGACAATATGTGCTTGAGACAAAAATCATTTGGGAGCAAATAATTTTAGCTTCTTTGCTGACTGAGCATCTTTGCTCTAAAATAACAGAAGAAGAGAAAGAAGGAAAGCATAACATGTTGAACACTTGGTTTTGTAGCATAAAGTGTATGAAAAGTCTATACAATGTTAACATATGATAATAGTTTTGGTATAATGAACTGGATAATCATTGTGCACATGAGTAACTCTTTTGCACTATCAAGGATCTGAAGAATCACACAAGAAATAGAATGCATAAGGCAGGACAGCTGGTGAGGGGAAAAGCTTCTTTCAGACAGGGCCACACAGTGTGATGATAGTAGACATACTGTTGACCTACTACACCATGATGAACAGGTAAAGGTTTGCAAATACTGCCCTCTTTCTAATGGTAGAATATGTTTAATCTGTTGCCAAGTAGCAGCTGGCTGAACGGTTAGGGATCTAGGTTCTCATGCAGGAGACCCGGGTTCAAATCTTTTTTTCTTTAGGGGGCGAAAATAAAATCCTCACCTGCCCAGTCCATTGCGACAGCGCTAGCCTTGTGGTCCTAAATCCCAAGTCTCAAAGACTCCCCCTGCCTTCACCGCAAAAGTGGCATAAAAAAGGCAGTCATTGACAGGTTTCTTTTTTAAACTATATTGCTATGATTTTGATCAGATGTAATTTTAAAAAACACACCATTTTTTTAACTTATAAACAGATTATTGTTATAATAATGGATATCTCTCTTTGATGTATACAATTAAAGAGATACGATTCAAGTTGTTTTTTAACTGAATTATCAGATTATTAAACTGCTGAATGAATCATAAGGGCTTACCATGTTTTACACAAATGTTAGAAACGAAGGCCAAAACAGAGAGAAATGAAAGTTAAGGGAGTTAAGAAAGGAATTAGTTATATAACCTGTGATATATAAATGGAAGCATAAGATACTTTCAAAATTTCTGACAGCCAAATAGCTTTTTACAATCAAGGAAACAGTTAAAAGTATGACAATATAATTAAATGTCTCACAAACATTTAACTGTTAACTCACCAGAGGGTGCTGTCAATTTTGGGATATTATCTGCACTGTTGCTGACTTTTCCCTGTTTGATAGAAACTGGTTGGCTTTCAGTTTTCGCTTTTTTGCGTGCAGGTTGGACTTCTTCGTCCTCTTCATCATCATCCTCCTCATTAACATCTTCATCCTCCTCATCATCATCTTCATCCTCCTCATCATCATCTTCATCCTCCTCATCATCATCTTCATCCTCCTCATCATCAGAAAAATCCTCATCTTCATCATCATCTTCCTCAAGCTGTCCTTTAAACAAGTCACCCACTGTCATTCCTTCTTCTTCATCATCATCAATGTCTTCATCGTCACTATCATTATCTTCAGCATTTATTTTCTTCAGCTGCTTAGATTCTTTAGAGTTATTGGCAGGAGAAATCTGGGTCAGTTTCTTCTTTCCTGGAGTTTGTACTGTAGGGGTTGTAACCACATCCTTCTGCTGTTTGGGTGTTTGTCCTTTCAACTGTTTGGGTGTCTGTACTTTCAGCTGTTTGGGTGTTTGTACCTTCAGCTGTTTGGGTGTTTGTACCTTCAGCTGTTTGGGTGTTTGTACCTTCAGCTGTTTAGGTGTTTGTACTTTTAGCTGTTTGGGTGTTTGTCCCTTCTGTTGCTTGGGTGTCTGTCCCTTTTGCTGGATGGGCGTTTCTCCCTTCTGCTGGGCTGGTGTCTGTCCCTTTTGCTGGATGGGCGTTTCTCCCTTCTGCTGGGCTGGTGTCTGTCCCTTCTGTTGGGCAGGTGTCTGTCCCTTTTGCTGGATGGGTGTTTCTCCCTTCTGCTGGGCAGGTGTCTGTCCCTTCTGTTGCTTGGGTGTCTGTCCCTTTTGCTGGATAGGTGTTTCTCCCTTCTGCTGGGCAGGTGTCTGTCCCTTTTGCTGGATGGGTGTTTCTCCCTTCTGCTGGGCAGGTGTCTGTCCCTTCTGTTGCTTGGGTGTCTGTCCCTTTTGCTGGATGGGCGTTTCTCCCTTCTGCTGGGCAGGTGTCTGTCCCTTCTGTTGCTTGGGTGTCTGACCATTCTGTTTGATGGGTGTCACTCCTTTCTGCTGTTCTGTTGTCTGCACTTTCTGTTTTTTGGGGGTCTGTCCCTTCTGCTGACTGGGTGTTTGTACTTTTTGTTGTTCTGGAGTCTGTCCCTTCTGTTGCTTAGGTGTTTGTCCTTTCTGTTGCTTGGGTGTCCCATCTTTCTGCTCTGGAGTCTTTCCTAATAGCTGTTTTGGGGTCTGTCCCTTCTGCTGGTTGGGTGTTTGTCCCTTCTGCTGTTTAGGAGTTTGTCCCTTCTGCTGGTTGGGAGTTTGTCCCTTCTGCTGGTTGGGTGTTTGTCCCTTCTGCTGGTTGGGTGTTTGTCCCTTCTGCTGGTTGGGTGTTTGTCCCTTCTGCTGGTTGGGTGTTTGTCCCTTCTGTTGCTTTGGGGTTTGCCCATTCTGTTTGTTTGGTGTCTGCCCATTTAGAATCTGCTTTTGCTTTTTTGGAGTGTTAGCATTTTTGCCTTCTGAAGCTTGTGGAGTTGAGAATGCAGGTGAACTCTGCACTGTTTCTGACAGCTTCCGCTTTCTGTTCTGTTGTGAGTCTATTGAAAAAAAAGTGAGAAATAACTTTTAAACCATTACATCTACATAGAGGTTGAAAAACAGCCCAGCTATGCTTCAGTGAAGCTTGTAAAGCTGCTAAATTCACATTTTAGGGACAGAAGACACTCCTAAAATTATAACAGAAAATAGGAGAAACAAGACAGCGACATGATTCCCACTGAAAATTTGATCTGAAAGGTACAAATATGCTTAATGTCTATACATTTTTCTTTTGCCGAACTCCTTAACAACTATATATCACTACATTCAGGCAGCAAATTCTAATTAAAAATGTTGCCTATTTTTTGGGCATGATGTGATACAAACCTAATTATAAAAGTGACCGTCGATCAATATTAATTACCTCATAAACAAATTATTGGCCAGCAAGCTTTGCAAGATATTTGCTGTGATATACATGCTTCTTTAACGTTTTGGTGTGTTAAGATATAAGATATTTCTTCTTTGTCCCCAAAAAAAATTATATATAAAAAACTTTGTTGCAGTCACTTGTGTGAGTGTGTATATTTAACAGAAAACTGCTTTATTCCATTGTTAAATAATCAAAGACTAAAGGTCTATCGGGTCGGCTTTATTGCAACATGACTGGTTTCATATGGCTCGTTCTTTCTCCTAATGGCTAGCCGCATGCCAAGTGTCGCACAAAGCTCGGACAAACAAAATGCATTTTTCAACCGGGCAAAGTAGCTGTGTAACGAACCTACAACTTTCGTAGAGCAAGATTAGCAACGTGACTATTTCGCCATGGAGACCCCCATATTGTTAGATGCCAACGCTATGTCCAACCCCAACTCAAAAATTGGAAAAAGGATTGTCAGAAAACATGTCAAATTTTGTAAATTAATAAATTAAAAAACATGATAAATTACTAATTCAATTTTTAAAATGTATAATCATTATGTCAACATTTATGTGACCAAATATTCAGCAATATCAGAATAAAACAGACACGATTTTGCAGTCTACGTCCTCCGCCATTTTGTTTCAACATTACTAATTCTGTTAAGACTTAATCATGAAAATTTCAGTTATGAAAAACTGTCAATATTTCTAATATTTCGTATCTGTATGTAAAAATAGACCCAGAATTTAAAAATACCACAATAGAGATCACAGAAAGCCTACAAAATACCACAAAAGAGGAAAGCCTACAAAATACCACAACAGAGATCACGGAAAGCCTACAAAATACAATAGAAAGCATGGAAAGCCTACAAAATACCACAATAGAGATCACGGAAAACCTACAAAATACCACAATAGAGATCACGGAAAGCCTACAAAATACCACAATAGAGATCACGGAAAGCCTACAAAATAAAACAATAGAGATCATGGAAAGCCTACAAAATACCACAATAGAGATCATAGAAGCCTTCAAAATACCACAATAGAGATCACGGAAAGCCTTCAAAATACCACAATAGAGATCATGAAAAGCCTAAAATATTGAGTTATTACAGAAATTTAATGACCATATTTTAAGTCCATATCTTAAATCTAAAACGTGCTGTTTGGTAGTCTGTCCTCTGCTGAAGGTATCGCGCATGTTTATGTTAGTTTCTGAACAGCCAGTATAAGTGGCAGGCTTTTTATAGTAACTAGTATTAAAATTTGTGCTGATCCCTGGCATAACTAGGCGGTCTCCATTTCCTGTGACTTCTGGAGTCGTTAGTAACCAAGCTCACTATTTTCTGAGTAAAGCACAACACTTTCTTAAATAATTATTGTTTCTGATCGAGTTAATGCTGTTGATGTTTTATTTTTCACAAAAATGATATTTCGATTCTAAAAAAATTTACTCAAGTCATGTGTGTGAACTGTGGTTGTCTTTCTCTTTCAATGTGACTGGTAAATTGTGCTAAAGATAATTTTACATTATTTTTACAAAGTATATTATTAATACAATATCAATTATTCAACAACTGTCGTTTTAAGTAATAATTAAACTAATCCCAATATCGTTCTTTGCAATAAGATGATAATTATATTATAATTCTGTGTCCATCTACAGGAAGAGTGAAAATTTGACTTGGCCACATGGCATATCATTATTTACAATCGAAAAAAAATGAATAATTATTTTAATTCAAATATATAAGTTATTTAAATTATACCTGTCTTTAAATTAGTCATCTTGATCCGTGTAGACGTTTCACAAGTAAAATTAGCTGATTCTAAAATTCAAGACAATGATAAAGTGTCAAATTCAAGCCCACATGGAACGGACTACCACCGCAATTCTTAAAAGGTGATCAAAAAAACTGCTGGCAGAGGAAGTCAACACATGTACAATTTATGTTTACTTTCTTCTGAAATAAATTCAAAACAATAATCTGAAATACAGTTGTAAATGAAATTTCGTAACGTTATAGTACCTTCTTTCTCCATAGTTATGTTACTCGGTTGTATTTGAATTGGTTTTAAAACTGTTAAAATATAAAATGCAATCACGATGTCGCTTCTATGCTGTGGTACAGTTGGAGTAAAAACAAGCACACGTGGAGTCAAGATGTGCGTGATGGCAATCCAAATTTTTAATGATCTCCAGTACGGTATTCGGAGAAGGGGCTAAAAGGCGCCCTTTTTTTTTTTTACGTTAGTCGATTTAAATTATCTAAACTTTGTACTTCTTAACGTTTTAAAATAATGAGCAGGGGAGGTGTGACATTTTACTTAAAAATGGGCCTTTTAAATAGTTTTAAAGAAAAAAATATTCAGTTTATAAATAGTTCATAAATAGCAACATATTATTAGGCAGGGCTATGCAATTGCCATTATAAAAAGCATAATAATTTGCGGACACATAAGGCTGGCTGAAAGTCAAAAGATTCTTTAAAATCTGACCACAGTTCTGCGATGATAAACGGTTAGGACTTGGAACATTTCTGTTCTTAACACATTTTGAAAAATAAAACAGAGAACCATGACAATTCACCTTGTACACTGACAGGTTCCCATGTTATTCTCAAAACATTCTTTGGTTCCTCCTCATTTCTTTCTTCTTCTGGTATAATTTTCTGTTGGAGCACATTCCCTAACACGACTCTGACCTTTGTAGACATATTTAGGATGGGTTATGAGTTCAGACCCACATCACAGTACTCGGGACATTGCCATAAACGCTCCATCTCCACCTTCAGCAGCCACAGCAAATCTAATGGTACTAGTTATATAAAGTCTGATCGTACATTCGCCTCGCCCTCCCCCGAGTTTTGAGCGTCGGCCAGATCTCCTGGTCAACCCTCTATGCACTACTGTTTTCAGACCGCGATGATCTACTTCAAAAAAGAAATGCCAAAGATGAAAATCGCAGATGTTTTAGAAATAGGGAAAATAGAGGCCAGTAGAAGGTTAAGACCAGGGTAGGGACAATCAATATATGTGGATGGGGCAATAAAGAAGAACAAGTGATAGAATTAATGGAGAAATATAATGTTAAAGTATTAGGATTATCAGAAGTGAGAATGAAAGGACGAGGAATATAGAAACTACATACAAATTACGTTTTGATACAATCGGGAGTAGAGGAAATGCAACGTGCAAAGCATGGAGTAGGATTTGTCATTGATCCCGAAACTGCAAAAAATATACTTGAAGTTAACTACATCTCGGAGAGAATTATAAGTTTGAAATTACAAGTAGGAAATAGTTCGGAGGTGTTTTTTTTTTCAGATATATGCTCCGTGCAATGGAAATTACAGTGAGGAGGATTTAGATTATTTCTTTGAGGACCTGGATGATGAAATTTGTAAAATAGATAATAACGAGAAACTGATCGTGATGGGTGAGTTTAACGGTAAGACAGGACGAGACAGGAGAACATTTACAAGATACCTAGGCAGTTATGGAGACAACAGCATTAGAAATGAAAATCGCGAAAGACTGTTGGATATATGTGCACAACATGACTTTGTTATTACCAACACCTTTTTTCAACATAGAGCTTCACAAGTATTTACATGGTATAAATGGAATGATCCAGATACCAAGAGTCAGATTGATTACATCTTGAGGAGAAAAAGAGACTTTCATCAAGTTACAGATGCGAGAGTTATACCAAACTTGAGTTTAGATACAGATCATAAGATGGTGATACTTGACAGAAAAGTCAAGATAAGTT